AACTTCGGTGCCAAGCGAGCACTTATTCTCAGATGCGGGAAATCAAGTAATACCAAAACGAACACGTCTTAGTCCAGAAACCGTTTCTCAAATATTGTTTCTAAAAAAAAATAGCGAATTGATTAGTATTACATAAAAAAATTTATTGAATAATATAAAATTCTTTTTAGATTTTCACGCTATTCATTAGTTAAATATATATAAACCAATTGATTATAAAGTAGGTTTATCTATATTATAAGAACTTTAAATAAAAACAATTAAAGGCTTATCATAAAATACTATATAATAGTTTTAGAATTATGCTTGAAGTTGGGTTGAAGTTAAGGTTTACTAACTGAATTATCTTCGAATTAGATCTTACATTTACAGTATTGTGATTTATTACCTGAAAATTAGTCAGGTTACTTGGGTTAGCCGGGTTAACCGGTTGTTATCTGGTTAAGAGTTATTTAAATGGGTGGGTAACCTGAAGTAGAATTTTATAGCGGGCCTAATCACTACTTATTACTCTTCTTACATTTGTATAGCGTAATATTCTCTCTTTAGATTATTCCTATAGTAAAGAATATTACCGTAAACCTGTTATTAATAAATATTATCATCTTTATAAACTGTTATTATCTTGAACCATTTGCCTTCTGCTGTGAAGTGAAAGTATATACTTCACATCCACCCCATGTATATTCAGTATATTACTGCACTGGATGACCTTGTTACTTTGCTATAACAATACCAAGAAGGCTATAGTATTGTAACAGTATCTAATTTGACTTTGAGATTTTGATAGTGGGATTTGGGATTTGAAATTGGAATTTATAGATTTGAATTTGGACAGCAAGTAAAACCTGTAATATTGAACCTAGGTGTTACACAAAATGCATGGCAGATTCTCGATTTTGATTGGCTAAAATAAATTAAGCTAGAATTACTCATAATTTTACTAATGAAATCGCAGCCACCTATTAAGTGAAAATTGTTTCTAGGTCAATTTTACTATAATGCGTGCTTATTTTTTAAAAATTTCTATTTTTGTAATGAAAAAATTAAAAAGTTAATTCCGGTCGGGACCAAAAATTTCGAAGATCTTCGGCCGTTAGCCAGGGTAAATGAACGTACAGTAAAACTATCATATTTTGATTTGTAAAAAAAAAAAAAACAAAAAAAAACAGATATGAAATCATAACAAGAAACAGAACTTCGATTGATGAATTATTATTAATAGAAAAAACTTTATATTATACTTTTTTTTAAGCCTATTTACGTACGTAATTAACGCAATATATTACAATATTTTATACATTATTATTATCTGTAACCAATAAAAACATTTGGTTCTAATTTTACACTCGTGGTTGTTTACATGAATAAATAATTACCATTATTGTCTCATTATGTCTGAGCTCTTTATATGCTGAGAATATTAGATAATATTAGGCAATGCTTCCAAATTTTACCAAATAATATCTAAGAAATTTAAATAAAAGTATTGTACAATAGTGAATTTATTCTGCAAAAAGTGATTTACTTTTTAGCAAAAATTGCACTCTTTGTTAATAAACTTTTATAAAAGGAATCACAATGCTCAATTTCTTGCAAACATCTTCATAAGTTTTAAGATGTTGGGAATAAGACATCAAACTGAGCAAGCGAGGCCATGATCGTAGCATGTTAGCTCGTCGAACTGATTGCAACTAATCAGTTTCGTCAATTCCTAAAAAATGGCTTATGTGAATCATTTTAATGTTATTTTAATAACGTTTCAAATATTGTAAAAATTAAATTACCTGCAAGACCTGTCATACGATTTTGGATACTCTCGGCTACTGCAAAAGTCCAAAGAAATTTCTGCGAAATTATTTAAGCAACACCCTCAGGTAGTAAATCATTATATATGAAATAATTACTTGTAGATGGAACGTATGATTCCGGCCGAGTAACAAGTGGTTGTGGTTTGCTACACATGATAGCTTCCATAACTGCATCAACTTCTTCGTCTGAATCAACGACTCCATCATCATTTTCGCCGACTTCTACTGTACTTCCATCCTTCTTGCCATTTTCTGCTTTATTGTCTGGCACACCATTATCTTCATTAAAATAGAACCGATTAATAGAGTTTATAAATAGTATATATATAATCGCTATACTTATTGTAATATAAGTTCGCTTTATTTACTTTGTGGGCGACCAATTGACTTCTTTTGATACTGAGAGAGCAATGTGTTAAATGGTTGTGAACGACCCTGAACTGCTCGTTTCAAGGCCATAGAATGACTTTTACAAGTCAATGAACGTGAACACTGCGTACCGGTATGTTCAATTACTCCACATTGTTTATCCAAGTCAATTGGTCCTATTAATGTTAAATGTCAAGAATGTATTAATTAGTATAGTCATAAATCACTATCTTTAAAATATGTTTGTTCATTACCTTTGTTTCGTTTTGTTAATTTGGATTTCTTTTCTTTTTCCTTCTTAACTTTTTGCTTTTTTACCGGTGATGATCTCGTATCTGATGCTGACGTAGAAACTTTGGTCGATATCGATCTTTCTGTTAATTCTGCTATTAAAATTATTATTTATTTTATTATCTAAAAACGAATTAGCGTTATGAAATAAAAAAAGTGAAACTTACCCTCAGAAGTAACGGATCGTTTACGTTTTTTATTTGAAACATATGTGCTTTCTATATCTTTTGAGTTTTTATTTACAGGTATCTCATCTACAGGTTTCTTCTTTGTGGATGTCAAAGACATCACTTTTATCTTTTCACAATTTTCTGAATTGGAAAATAAGTACGTTAATTATAAAGAAACAGTTTCAACTAATAAATCTGATTTTATTGTATGTAAAAAGAAAAAAATGAAGCGCACAAAATACCAGTATGCTCTACAAAACCACTTGCAAACAGTTTTTTCGAACATGTATTACATTGTATAACTCCAGATTCTTCTCTTGCGGGTTTGCACCCATAAGTCTTCATATGTAAAATGTTGGTCAAGGATTATAAAAGGAATGTTTTGTGACAAATCGTATCATATAATTAAAGGATATCATCATATTTGAATCTAGACAATATTGACGGCGGGACATTGACTTCTTGTGAAGTCAACACAACGTCCTCTTCGTACTCGTCTATGGAATATGATATGCACGAGCGAATGAGTATTTAATATACCTAATAACTTTAATATATATATATATATGAAAAGGTAAGATTAAAACAAACCTTCGTCTAAAATGGCTTCTTTCAAATCACTCCATGAAGAATATGCTTCTAACGGCACTTCCCGTGAAACAACCAGCGGAGTTTGAAAGGCCTCCGTCCATTCGTCTTTAAAAAGCGATATTGAAGCAGGTGACAGTAATGACTTCCAATTGGGGTTCATTTTCGTGATATTTCAAGAAATATATTTGAGTTAAATTGCATAAATAAAAGTACAATGTTAAATTCTATTAGAAGTTTTGAAAAAAAAAATTAAGATGCAGGATTACGAAAAAAAAAAAAATTTCATTGCTATACCAGATATATTAATAAAATTTCCAACGACCAATCAGTCATTTCCACAATTGATTTTCAGCACTAAGCCAAATGATGATCTTTGTACCTCGTTACCTTTATTTATCTGGCTGAAAATAACGAAACATACGTATAACCAGTTAGCATCCGCTTTTTTATTAATAGTTAATAGAAATTACGCCAAGCTCGAAATCAGTTCCTAATTCACTACAAGGGCTTATTCAACCGACGCGGCGTCAAATACTAGCAGTAACCTTTTCAAAGAAATCAATGTAGAACTAGCCAATCAAATTTGTGGCCCAAAAAATAAGTTTATTGGGAAAATTTTTATAAAGTTTTTGTTCGGTACTTTTATTTTCAATGTTTCGCCAGAAAGGAAAATGAAACACAGCGTACCACGCGTATAAGGAAATTATTTTAGGGTACGTATTGACCGCGAAATCTGGTGTTTTAACTCTAAACTACTCAAAAAAGTAATAAAAAAAACATTCTTCCAAAACAAGTATATTTCAGAGCTTTTGTTAAAATGTGACACACCAAAAGTGGGTCTTCAAGAATTTATCAAAAGTTTTTTTTTTACTTTAGGCATGAGATTACGACCCGAAGAATTGAAAAAACGCGTTAAAGAAGCAATTTTTTTTGTCTTTTCTTTACATCCTTACCCTTATAAAAATATTGATCTTATAACGATAATTTACTTATTTATTTTATTCACTAAAAAAAAAAAAAACAGGTATCAATTGCACAAAAGAAATTTATTAATACTATGGTAGATTTCTCAGAATAGTGTGATTTTATTTCTTTATACACACTAGCATTATTTCTTTTTCTGAATGAGAAACGATGATGTTTGAGATATATGAATGTCATGTGGTTACTCAAGTTAGTATTGCTAGCGCAGTTAGTATCTTAATAATTCAAGGTTTTCAAAAAATTAGTGCCATCAACGTACTGAAGATAATTATTATCTACACAGCGTTTCTTGATTGACTTAACATTGCTTTTAATAAAATATCTTAAAATCAAGTAACTTAACATTCAGGGGTGTGCCGTTTGTTAGTTATTAGTACGTACAGTAGCCAACAAAAGTAACGCCCGATTTTGGCTCAAAATGGAAATTTTTTTATTAATAAAAATTTGACCACACATACATAATATATTTTTTTATTTTTTATTTAATATTTTGATAAACAACTATCTGCATCTGCGATAGCCTTGGTTCTTTGTGTCATTGAGTCTGAAACTACACAAAGAACCGATGTATCCAAATTTGACCAAGCCTCTGTTAGGGCCACCTTAAGTGCAGGTTTATCATAGGGGAAGTTATCACAGTTCTGAATATTGTTCTTTATGATTCTCCAAATATTTTCTATGGGGTTTAGGTCAGGGGATCATAAAGGCCAATTTATATAATTTATTTTAACCAATTTGACACCTTGTAAACAGAAGCATTATTATGCTGAAAAATTGGATGAGAGTAGTGATGCCTGACGAAACCATGTGATGCTAATTATCACGTGCTATTACTTATAAAAAATAAAAATTGATGTTGATTTTTATATATTGTAACATGTGACAATTAGCATCACATGGTTTCGTCAGGCATCACTAGATGAGAGTCGAGTAATGAATGAGCAGCAGCTATAAATAGTACAAGGTGGTCGTCTAAAACCTTAGTATAAATTATTTTAGTAATTTTTTTCTTGGGGCCTTTGTAATTATCAAAAAAAACCATAAGTTCTTTAATCATATCCATATAACAAGACCAAACTATTACTGAGACTCTCACACTTTTAAAATTCAGTTGCAAATACTCGTGTTTGTATCATTCATTTGTGCATTGCCATACTTAAACTTGGCAGGATTGTTTACTGATTTTCATACTCATTTTATCAGAAAAATGATACACTTCTAATAATAAGTGTCCTTGTTTTTATGTTGGTCACACCAATCTTTCCATATGTCTATATTGCTTGGTAATAAGAAAGGTTTTAAAGCAGCAATGCGGAAACAAAGCCCAGCATTGTGTAAGATTCTAGCTACAGTCTGCACACTGTATTGAAGGTTTAAATCCTTCACAATTTTGAGCAGGAGCATGCATCTTTTCTTCAATACTTTTTTTACTATAGCGGTCTTTTCTTGCTTCTTTAGAGTAGGAGAACGTCCAGACTGAAGTAAATTTGCTATTTTTTTGGTCCTCTTGTACTTTGCTAAGAACCTTTAAATTGTTGTTGGAGCATGGTTTAGCTTTTTGGCAACTTGCTCAGCACTTATTGTACTGATATAAGCAAAGACCATTTCTTTTTCTTTATTATTTATTTGTTTGTGTAGCATTTTTGTTAAAAAAAAAATTATTCAAGCCTTTAAGCTTGTTGTTCAAATATAAAAGAAGCAAAAAATAAAAAAAATTGCCCCAAATTATATATATATAGGTAAATATAGCCCCTTATTTGCTCATGTAAGATAATCTGCAAATCAGGTATTACTTTTGTTGGCTACTATATGTATATAGATTAATCTCTCCCTCTTTAGGTGATAAAATTAGTAGCCAGCAGTTATATTATTTATATATAATATATAGACATGATAAATTGTTAGTCTTCCCTTCTTTTAAAAAATTATATAATAATTGGCACTCCTCTTATTATTTATGATATCATTTGAATTGTTTGAATAAAGCAAATCGAATCACGTTACTCTGGTTATAATGACATCATAGTAAAATCTTTCTATACCAACATTCAAAAATTTAATATAAAATATTGATATAACTCCACTATACCAACATTTTGAATTTTTTTACTAATGTCTCAAAAATATCAATATAATCAAAGTAACGTGTAATATTAAGTGCTCAATTATTTGGTATTTTAAGATTTTATTAAACTATTTAAAAAGCATGACTTACAAGTTTTCTTGGACATCATTCAAATGCAAACAAAAGAATTGACCTAAAGAAATAAGATTTGTTAGGTTTAAAAGCTTTAAGAACATTATATATCAATAGTTTGTTGACAGGTCAAATGAAAGCAAATCAGGCTTCAACTGGCATCATATAATAAAATCCCAAATAACAAATTCCCAAAAGAACCTAATACTAACAAAGTTAGCCAATACTAGTTATTATGCTGACCAATTTAGTTAGCATTATATTCTTTTAGAAAAATGGCTTTTAGGATTTTGTAATAGAACCTTCTGATATAAACCTGATTGAAACAGATATTTGTTGGAAATAAAAAACCTTTAGAGTACAAATCGTGTTCATATAGACATTTAAAACATATGTTTTAGAAACAATAGAGTAAATATTACAGAATTGCCTTTAAATATTCTATTAAATTTTTTGCTTACAGAAAGTTCAAAATAATTGTAGATGAGAATTTAAAGTACTTTATTATGAAATTATAAAATTTTAGAAGTTTTTTTAAAATAGTTTAGTTAGAGTTTAGGGTTAGGGTTATTAATAAAAGAGTATAGATGGATTTTAGTAAGTATTGTGAATTTAATAACTTCTCATATAAACTTAAAGAAACTATAATTGGATCCACTTTGGGTTCAAAGTGGACCTATTTTGGGTTCAATATAATCTACTTTGGGTTCAAAATATACAAAAAGTAGCTTTTTGTAATTATCTTGGCAACTAGCAGTCCAATTTGGGTGAATTTTTTTTTAAATAAAAGCTCTTAGCAAGACGCATCCAATAAAAAAGAGTTTATTTAATTCTAATTACTAAATTCTAAAATATTTAAGAAACAATAAATTTTTAGTTTTAATAAATTAAATTAAAATTAAACAAAACCAAATTATAAACATTATCAACTCTTTCTAATGTTCACTTGTACCAAAATTTCAGCTAACGAAAAAACACAAACTTTGTTGGAGAGATGTGGCCTTACGTTGCAGTTTGTCTAGAGATCAACTATCTGTGGGGGACTCCTCTAAAAGGACATTTGGCATGCAAGCCAAGAGCATTATTATACAAAATAACTGGCAGGCGGTGCCCTTATATAAAAAACCTTGGTGAAAAGAGAAAGTCTCAAAGTAGGCTTCTACTTCGTCAACAAAGCACTAGAACTGTTACTTCAAAGAAGAACACAGGGAAAACAACAAAAGTTTTGGATTTCCAACACTCTCTTTAGAAATTTTAAAAGTATTTGATACAAATACCTTTTACCTTATTTCTGCGGGTTTGGATTTTTTAGCCAAAAAGTAGAAAAACTGACATATCCTTTCCAAAAGATTGGCAGTGTTTACTCCTTCCAAATTAGGACACATCTACTAAAATAGAACCTCCTACAAGCTTATTTGGATTCTGCTTTCCCAAATAAACAATAACGGCAGTACTGTTTACAGTATAAGAGATTATGTGTAAAAATTTCTTATAGTTAGATGTTTTTTCTTTTCTTTTTCACTTCTTTTAATATATATAGTGTTAGGTTAGATTTTTTTCTATGCAACATTATATAATTTCTGTAGCCTGGTACAGACAAAAATAGTGTTGTCATGGTCGTCTTCTTTGCAGCCTTTTTCTCCTTTTCTCTATTTTTTCTTTTGTATATATTTTTGTTTTATTTAGTTTAGATTTCTTTTTTTTTTTGTATTTTCTTTTATTTTCTTAAATTTCCTGTTGTTCTTGCGATAAAATTTTTCTATTTAGAAGGCTAGGAGAAGAAGATTGGAAAAGAAGGCGATCATGACGAGCTGGTAAACCAGGTCAGTGAACCGGGATAGGTCGGCTTGATGTAGGTTGAACCAAACTGGGAGATTAAAATCATCTTTGGCAGATTGCACACAGATGCATGAATACTTAGATACTCTATATACTGTAGGTAACCGGGCAAGTCACATTCCAGTAATAAGATGTAATAT